TCCCTGACCCCTTCTTCCTACTTCCCTCCTCCTGTAGTTCCTTTGTTTCATAGACGGTTTTACTTCTGTTTTCATGCCATATATACATACATAAATCTGTATTTTCATAAAATCTAGGATCCACACATAAGAAAAAGCATGTAGAATGCAGAGAGCCCACTCTCCAACATAGTTCTTGAAGTCCTAGCTAGAGCAATAAGACAAATAAAGGAGATCAAAGGGATTCAACTTGGAAAAGAAGTCAAAGTATGACTATTTGCAGGTGATATGATAGTATACATGAGTGGCCCCAAAAATTCTACCAGGGAACTCCTACAGATGATAAACACCTTCAGCAAAGTGGCAGGATACAAAATTAACTGAAAAAATTCAGTAGCCCTCCTGTATACAGAAGAAAAATGGGGCTGAGAAGAAATTAGGGTACAACAACCTTCACAATAGCCACAAAGGACATAAAGTACCTTGGTGTGACCCTAACCAAGCAAGTCAAAGACCTGTATGAAAAAAATTTCCAGTCTCTGAAGAAAGAAATAGAAGATATCAGAAGATGGAAAGATCTCCCATGCATCTTACCAAAAGCAATCTACAGATTCAATGCAATTCCCATCAAATTACCAAAACAATTCTGTATAGACCATGAAAGGAAAATTCTCAACTTTATATGGAATAACAAGAAACCCAGATTTGCTAAAACAATCATCTACAATCAAAGATCTTCTGGAGGTATCTCCATCCCTGATCTCAAGCTGTACTCTAGAGCAACAGTAATAAAAACTGCATTGTACTGGCAGTTTTTGGTGGATCAGTGAAATCGATTAAAAGACCCAGAAATAAACCCACACACTTATGGACACCTGATTTTTGACAAAGATGCCAAAAACCATACAATGGAAAAACGATAGCATCTACAACAAATGGTGCTGGTCTAACTGGATATCTACATGTAGAAAATGCAAATAGATACATACTTATCACCCTGCACAAAACTAAAGTCCAAGTGGATGGAAGACTTCAACATAAAACCAGACACACTTAACTTGCTAGAAGAAAAAGTGGGAAAGAGTCTTGAGCTCATTGGCACAGGAGACAACTTCCTGAACAGAACACCAATGCACAGGCTCTAAGATCAACAATCAGTAAATGGTACCTCATGAAACTGAAGAGCTTCTGTAAAGCAAAGGACACTGTCATCAGAAAAACAAAGCAAGCAAACAAACAAAAACCCGACAGCTTATGGATCGGGATAGGATCTTCACCAACCTTATATCTGATAGAAGGCTGATATCCAGAATATATAAAGAACTCAAGAAGTTACATAGCAACAAATCAAGTAATCCAATTAAAAAATAGGGTACAGAGCTAAACAGAGAATTCTCAACAGAGACATATCAAATGACAGAGAAACACTTAAAGAAATGCCCAATGTCCTTAGTCACCAGGGAAATGAAAATCAAAACGACCCTGAGATTTCACATTACATCCATCAGAATGTCTAAGATTAAAAGCTCAAGTGACAACACATGCTGAAGAGGATGTGGAGAAAGGGGAACTCTCCTCCATTGCTGGTGGGAATGTAAACTTGTACAACAACTTTGGAAATCAATCTGGCGTTTTCTCAGATAATTAGGAATAGTGCTACCTCAAGATCCAGCTATACCACTCCTAGGCATATATCCAAAAGATGCCCAAGTACACAACAAGGACATTTGCTCAACCATGTTCATAGCCGCTTTATTCATAATAGCCAGAACCTGGAAACAACCCAGATGTCCCTCAGTTGAGGAATGAATACAAACATTGTGGTACATTTACACAATGGAATACTACTCAGCAATTAAAAACAAGGAAATCATGAAATTTGCAGGCAAATGGTGGGAACTAGAAAAGATCATCCTGAGTGAGCTATCCCAGAAGCAGAAAAACACATATGGTATATACTCACTTATAAGTGGATATTAGACATATAATATACTAATGTCTAATCATACTAAAATCTGTACACCTGAAGAAGCTAAGCAAGAAGGAGGACTCTGGATAAGATGCTCAATCTTCATTCAGAAAGGCAAATGGGATAGACATCAGAAGAAGGTGAAAATAAGGAACAAGACAGGAGCCTACCACAGAGGGCCTCAGAAAAACTCTACTCAGCAGGGTAATAAAGCAGATGCTGAGACTCATAGCCAAACTTTGGGCAGAGTGCAGGGAATCTTATGAAAGAAGGGGGAAATAGAAAGACCTGGAAGGGTCTGGAGCTCCACAAGGAGAACAACAGAATCAATAAATCTGGGCCTAGGGGCCTTTTCTGAGACTGACACCCTAACCAAGAACCATTCATGGAGATAACCCCTTGCACACAGGTAACCCGTAGCAGCTCATTCTCCAAATGGGCTCCTTAGTAAGGGAGCAGGCACTGTCTCTGACATGAACGCAATGGCTGGCTCTTTGATCACCTCTGCCTGAGAGGGGAGTAGCCTGACCAGCCCACAGAGAAAGACTATGAAAGACAGTCCTGATGAGACCTGATAGGCTAGGGTCAGATGGAAGAGGAGGAGGTCCTCCACTACCAGTGGACTGGGGAAGGGTCATAGAAGGAGATGAGGGAGGCAGGGAGGGAGGGTGGGATTGGGAGGGGATGAGGGTGGGGCTACATCTGGGATACAAAGTGAATAAATAGTAATAAAAATATATTAAAAAATAGAAAACAGTACAAAAAATTCAAATTTGATTTTTTTTAAAAAGGACATTATGTTTACATTAAAATAAATGGAGAACATAATCTAAAAAAATAGAAAAGGCATGAAATAGTTTTCTTTCTGAGATGGGCTTAATTTAATATCTGTACTTGTATCCATTTTGCTGCAAATGATGTAACTTTTTTCTTTTTTAGTTGAAAAATTCCATTGTGTGTATTCCACATTTTTTTCTCCACTTCTCTGCCACAGGACACCTAGATTGGTGCCACATTTCACCTATTTTTAAATAGGGCTATACTACACAGCAACATGCAGGTGACTCTGTGGTATCTTGATTTACTGTCCTTTATATACACTGGGTCATGTGGAAGGTTAGTGGCGCCATACTTGTTTGCATCCTGGCAGGCCTATTCCACATCTCTATCAGTGGTACGTAAGAGTTCCCTTTTGTTCTCGTCTTCACCAGCACTTACTTTAACTACCATTTGACTGGGGTGAGATGAAATGCCAGGGTTTGAGTTTATGTTTCTCTAAAGGCTTCTGAGGTTGAATATTTATTTCATGTGTTATTGGAAATTGTGGTTCATCTTTTGAGAACTGCCTGTTCATTTATTGACCAGATTATATGAGTTCTTGTTGTATGCTCCAAGTTTATGCTTGTGTGTGTGTGTTCGTGTGTGAAGTGTGCACTCTAGATATTAACCCTCTGTCTTATTTATAACTAGCAAAGATTTCTTCCCATCTTTCAGGCTGTCTATTCCTTCAGTAAACTATATCATTTGCTGTACAGAGCGCTTTAATTTCATGAAGTCTCATTTGTCAGTTTATGGTATCTGTACAAATGGAGCTTTTTTCAGAAGACCCTTGTCTGTGTTTGTATCTTCTTTTCTCTGACAGTTTCAGAGTTTCAAGTTTTTTGTTTTGTTTTGTTTTGTTCTGTTTTGTTTTGTTTTTTAAGACAGGGTTTTTCTGTGAAGGCTTGGCTGTCCTGGACTCCCTTTGTAGACCAGGCTGGCCTTGAACTCACAGAGATCTGCCTGTCTCTGCCTCCTCGATGACTGGGATGACAGGCGTGCACCACTACACCCAGCTCAGAGTTTCAAATTTTACATTAAGGTCTTTGATCCATCTTAACTTGTTTATCTAGTTTTGCAGTTCTGTATGTGTATGTGCTCATCATTTGTTGGAGAGACTTCTATCCAAAGTGTATTTCTGACACTGTTTTCAAAAATCAGGTGTCTGTAGCTCTGTGGGTTATGACTGCTTCCTTTGTTCTATTTCAGTGATCTACTTGTCCATTCTTACATCAATGCCAAGATGTTTTGTTGTTATGGTTCTGTAGTATAACCTGAAATCAGATATTGTGATACCACCAGTATCATTCTCTATGTTCAGGATTGCTCTGGCTATGTGGGATCTTACACGCTTCAATATGAGCTTTAAGATCATCTTTTCTAGCCTGTGAAGAATGTCATTAAGACTTGGCAAATTGTCTCTTCACAGTTACTGCAATGTGGTGGAAGAGAAAACAGTACATGAATAAAAATATATTTAAAGACACAATGAGACAATCAAAGTAATAGAAGTAACTTACTTAGAAATGTGCCCAGGAGACACTTCTGTGAGCATAAGAGCCATGATGGAGCGAGAATGGCCAGGGGTGAGAGGGGGCAGGAGTGAGAGGGGGCAGGAGTGAGAGGGGTCAGAGGCGAGAGGGGCCAGGAGAGAAAGAGCCAGATGGAAGGCTATATAAGCCTGGCAAAAATACAGTGAGATGGGGAGTAAAGAAACAGCTGCTGACCATCGACAGGATGGTGAGCATGTGGTCTCCAGCAGAAACCACAGATGAGATTGTGAGTAGGTAGGTAGTTTGCTGGGGAGGTGTGACAAAGTGAGGGGCTTTTGGGTGAAGAAGGGCCTTGTGGTCAGAGGCAAAGAAGATGGGTAATTTTTGAAGAATTTTATCCATTTTACTTCCTGCCAACTTCTAAATAATACTTAAAGGTGGTTTATTTATAGGATATTAGAAAGCAAAAGAATTAAATGAGTGAAGAATTTGTAGTAAAAAAAGAGTGCATATGAGAAAGAAAAATAAGATAAAGGAAAGCTAAACTTGTGACCATGAGTAGGCCATGAAGTTAATCCCAAGCTTTCCAGTCCTCAGTGCAAGAGAAAGAAAATCAATAAATAGGTTAAGATAGTTTGTGGGCAGAAGTCCTAATTGGAATGGGATCAGGGAGAAACTGGAGAACTATTTAGCTTATGAAGTAGACAGTAGCAAATAAAAATAACAAAAAATAGTATTACCTTGAACTGTCGAAAGGGTTTCCTCAAAGGTTCTCAAAGACACCTACAAATAGTATTGGATAAAGATTGTTAATGCCTCTAAAAACAGAAGACACACGCTTTTAAATTTTTCTTTCTGATATGGAACAGGACATTTCTACAATCAATAAAAACTTTTCTTTTATCCAATCATGTTGTGGTGTTGTGGGGGACCTGGGATGGATCTTAAGATACCATAATCAAAAGGCAGTCTGAAAGTTCTGATTGACACTTGGAGCAGCTAAGAAGGAAAGGCACAGCTACTGCTTAGGTCAGCCATCCAGGCCTCCAGGAAGCTGATGATCACCATGACCCTTCTCTCTGTGTGGAACATGTGTGCTGTATGTGTGTGTGTGTGTATGACTGAGCCCAGCAGCTGGAGCAATTTTATAGACCTGACCCATAGGATACAAGTAAGACACAATGCCCTCTCTCATGATGCCTAGAGATATGCTTACTTTATAAATGTCTGACTTTGGCACCACCATTTTTTTCCCTATTTTTGATAATGCTAAGTTCATGCCCAAAGAAACGATACCAAAGTACCACACCTTGTTAAACGTCTCATGACCCCTCTTTTGTGGTAACCAATGAGAAAACAAGTGTGAAAGAGAACACTGAGTCTTTCTATTTGGGGAGCAGAGCCTGGCTCAAATCATTATGACTTTTGAACCCCCTTCTTTCATCCTCTGTCACTCTTGATATCTATGCCATCACTGCAAATGTCAGAAGCACAGCAGCTGTTGTTCCTACAGCATAAAGTAGAAGCTTTCTGTCTCTTCTCTGCTTCAACCCTCTCCCCTCCCCTCAGCTGTGTGTGAGCATTCACTTGAGTTGGTCCCATAGGCTCTAGAGAAGGGACAAGGGGTACTGGTGGATTTGAACACTCACCTCTCTGTTCTCTGTTTTCTGTATCTCATTCTAGGACAGGCAGGAAAGAAGGACAGAGGAGGGAGAGAGGTAAAGAAGGGAGAGAGAGAAAGGAAGGAAAGGAAATGGAGGTAGGGATAGAAGGAAGAAGAAAGCAAGTGACAGAGAAGGAATCGTTCTATAAGAATGTCTACAAGTAGGTCAGGTGACATGAGTCAAAACTTTCCTCTATAGCTCTTTAAGAAGGCTTAAGTTACATAGCTGGTCTGACCTGCAACTGCTTTATCTGTTTGAAAGTGTGTGTTTAAAAGCATAACAATGATTCCTTCCTTGGGAGCTGCTCTCAGAATTTCAATGGAATATTATTCAAAATGCATAGATGTTTACAGGAAATAGAAGGCATATTGTGCTTAAGCAGAATATGGGTTTCTTCTCACATACACACTCACATCCGCCTGCTCTATGCCCCCTACCTCCCAGTTTCTCTGTACTCTAGTTATTCAGGAAGAGTCTGGGAGGAGAGGGAATTAGTGGAAAGTGACATAGAAATGGCCATCATTATTAATTCCCTTATATCTTCTCCTCTGCTGGCCCTTGCGCCTGCTAGCACCTCTGCCTGTTGGAAGTACCCTGCTGGTTGAGGTTGCAGTTCTTGCCTGGACTGGATAGCCATCATGAACTCAGTGTTAAAGGCAGAACTCCCTCCACTTGGCGGGGTCCCCTGATCTCTGCCTGTCTTTAGACACAGACTCTCCTAACCCCATTTGATGTATGGCCTCTGACACAGCTCCCTGCTAGCTCTCCCCTCCCTGTGCCTATATCTTAATTAGGTACTAAATCTCTATTCTTATGAAAGGAACGTGCTGTACAATGCAAATAAAGCATCCTTGAAGTGCCTAGTTCTAACTGATTTTGTACACCTATTCTTGGAGTCCCCCATCCACTCTGCTACGGGTATATAACCTTTGTTCTCTGGAATTAAAGGTAAACTATCCATCAGCTGTTCCCTGGGTGTGTGATCCCTGAACACTTCTCTCCTGCCATTCCAGGCACACTTCTAGTCTCCTGCCCCTCTTGACTTCATGGGCCGCAGGGAGGCAGCCCCCAGGCAGGAGGAGAACCAACATCAGCCTCCAGATTGCAACCCTTTTTCAAGTCTCTCTTCCCGATGGCTCACTGAAGCCCATTAGCCAAAGGCTTTGGCATTCCCACGTCTGAGGTTCCTCCAGATCTGTTCAAAGCCTGGGCTTTTCCTCGGCCTCCTGTACAGTCACCTTCACAGCTCTTTCTACACAGCTGTTGGTAATGTCACCCAACCAGAGAGTGTTCACACAAAGCCAAGTTGGAAGACCAGTTCATGTGACACAGCGACCACATTCCGGTGCTGTCTGGACTCTGCTGTGAATGCTGCTCAAGTCCCCTACTGCAGCTCAGGGCACACTGTTTCCATGGAACAAGCAGGAGCCTCCCGAGTGTGTCTGAAGCTCAGCCTCCTCCCGTACCGGGATTTCCCACTATATCCTTAGATGCTGATCTCATGTAGGGAGCCTCTTAGTTTGCAGAGTATTTTTAATATCATTGCTTCCATCTGACCTTTTCAGGAAGGCAGAAGGCAAATGTTTGTAAATGCCGTCTTCCTAAGAAGGAAGCAGGCAGAGGAGGAACTGATTTGACTTCATCTAAAAGTAAAATCAGTTAACCACATACAGAAAAATGAACTTGGTTAGCCAACCAAGCTTTCTGCCAGAGATCTCAGCAAAGCAACTCCCACCAACAGATGCATCTTTCCTAACTTATCATTGTTGACAATGAATTGAGATAACCTCACCTTCAACTTCTCAAGGTATCTCTCGTTCCCTCATCTCCTCTCTTCTGCACATGCACACAGAAAAGAAGTGTGTATTTAATTTTAGAGATCAGTCATGTGGGAAGAATAGAAAACATCATCATTTGGCCTCTTTTGTCTTCTAAGTAAAAACAGACAAACAGAAAACCACTGGGCAGCCTTGAACACACATGCTATCTGTGCCTGTGTTCGCAGAGTAAATGCAAAGGTTTATCTGTAGGAGGTAGCTGTCTAAAGCCAGTGTTTTACCTGCCATCGAATATCAGAGAGAGCACCACACTGGGGAAAATCACCTAAATACTTTGGAACTTGGTTTCTTCATTTGCAAAATGCCAATTTCAAGACTTGAAGGTCTGAAAATTCTTGTTCCTGCTGTTGAGAGTACCTACCTCTTCGATGAGCTGATACAGTTGCCTCTTAGCCTGCAAGCAGGGTCTGTTCATAACCTCTTCATCAGTGGAGTCCCAGGAATCCCTGTCTTCCATTAAGAAACAGGCTGTCCCACTTCTGGAGTACTTGTCCTGCAGCTGGGCAGAGATAGGATACAACTGTGTGATGAACACTTGCTTTTTCTTTTTACTCATTTAGAGGCCCAAAGAACATAAAGTGATGAAAATTGGGAAGAGTCTGGGTACCATGAGCAGTTTGTGGTTTAAATAAAAGTAGGGCATGCTACACACTGTCCATTGACATTAGCTAAACATCTGGATGTAGTGGAGGAACAGGCCAGGCATCCCGGCTCCCAGTGCTCTGCTCTGCTGCATTTCTAGCAGCTGTCATCATTCTTACTTTCTCCCACTTGCACGTTTCTCATTAGATCTTTGTGGTGGTAAGTAAGGTTCCTCCCTGCTTTGTGGAGTAGTGTGGCTCTCCCTCCAATGCTAGAAACTTGCCTGTGCAGAAAGCAGGGAGTGGAGTCCATTTAAGTGCCCACATCTTTAACAGAGAACAACCAACCATTTGGTATACGGGAAACGTCCAGTCCCTCATCATGGCTCCTGCAGCAGAGTAGACTGTACTTATTGGCATTGCTTCTACTCTGGTTGGGCCCATGATACCACTAGGAATCTGTATCCTGCCTCATTGGTTGTTCACAAAGCTGAGGGACTGGTCTAAGGAGATGTTAAGCACCAGACATTAGGGTGTTTTGTTAGGATTGGAAGCCAATATTTATAGTAGCCTCGTAATTGCCAGCAAAGTCCATCCTCTAGTCAACGATCACTGCTTAATAGTTTAACCCCCATTCCCACCACATAGCTTTCATGAACCATCCTGAACATGCTCATTACCAAATCAGGAGAAGAGGACGAAGGGAGGAAGAGGAGGAAGTAATGGGGAAGGAAGAGGAGGAAGTCCTCACAGATTTTTTTTTCTTCTTTCCCTTTTGGTTTTGTTTTCCTAACAGCTTGGATTTATAACATGTCATTTCTCTATACCTATTGAAAAAGGCCTGAAAACTCATCTAAGTGGGAGGCTGAAGCAGGAAGATCACGAGTTTAAGGCTTGTCTAAGCTACAGAGTAAATCCAAGGCCAGCATTCACAGATCAATGAGATCCATTCTCAAAACAAAGCAGAAGTAAATAAGAATAGAGAGTTGGGGTATCTCATTGGTAGAACACTTTGTCTAGCATGTATTGAAGCCCTTGGTTTTATCCCTTTCTGGTTGAATAAAAACATCTGTTGATTTGCCTTTAAGGGGGTAGCTGCTGAACAAGCTGGACTCAAACTCATAGAGATCTACTGCCTCTGCCTTCTCAATTCTGGGATTAAAGGCATGTCCCACCATGCCTGGCCTAAATATAATACTTTTATCTATTATTTAAACTTGGTGTACTACAAGGTTTGAGGTGGTGGGGAATTTAACAACCCATACTTCCTATAGAAAAACAATCTACTGATTGATTGATTGATTGATTGATTGATTGATTGATTGATTGTGAGACAGGTTCTTATACAGTCCAAACTAGACTCACACTTTCTTGATAACCAAGGCTGACTCTAAATTTCTGACCCTCCTGTCTGTGGAATTAGCAGCATTCAACAAGTCTCCTGATGGTGTTATTGATTGAAACAGAGCTTTGTGCTTGCTCGGCAAGCATTCTACCATCTGAGTTACACTCCAGCCCAAAACTATCTCATTTAAAAACAACAACAACCACAACAACAACAAACTCCATTACTCATAAGAAGTCCTGTTTCAGAATAGGACTATTCACACAGTTCTGTTCTCAGCAATGTCCCTCTAAGCAAAAGCATAACCCGAGTTAATGAGTTATGGATCATTCACTATTTAAACTAAACTAGCAGCCTGGGGAGACCTCTGTGGCTTATTGGAAGGCTAATATCCTCAGAAGGGACACTTTGTCTCCTTCTTTCCTAGCAGTAACATCCCACAAGGAAAGGGTTAGGGGCCTGGAAGGCTAGGGCCCAGGCAGGAAGGAGCTGCTATTGTTGTGGTTATTCAGAGAAGAAGGTGTGTCACTGTCCTCTCATAATTGAGGTAGGGTGTGAGTGAGAAGGACAAGGTATCTTAGGAGGAGGGTAAATCCGATCAGCCCAAACCAAATGGCTGGTGGGGTTCCAGGGTATCTTCGGGGAATTTCCAGAAATGTTTTCAGGAGGTGGAAGGGGAAATCTTGATTGAGTCAGGCCCTGAGGGAAGCTATACAAGTTAATGAGATTGAACTATTACACAAACACTATGAAGCAGGGGTGTGGCTCAATGGGAGAGATAAAAATAAAATAAAAACTTAAGGAAGCCTAGACTTAGAAGACACGGGAAATTCAGAAAGCATGGAAAAATAAAGAACACTTTCATAAAGGCAAAAAGCAAACTGTCTTCCCAACTAATAGTAGTCTGAGACAAAACCAGCATACTAAACTGAAAAGGCCAACCCACAACCACCTAAGCTCTGGCCAGCCTCTGTGTACATGCCTGAGATCAGACTGTGTGTTTGACTGTGTGCAGTCTCTCTTAAGAGCATATAGAAGTGGCATGTCCATGAAATCTAAGGGCATAGCTCAGTGGAAGTTCTTGCCTTGCTTGCCCAAATCCCTGGGCTCTAAGCATTGCTAATTTCTAAGAAAACCATATATAACAATCGAGATAGTTTTTATGACATTCACTGCAGAAAATTCATTAAGATTTAGACAAATTTAACGAGAGTCTTCTCTATCCTACCATCTTGAGGTCACACTGTCCACTTTCTGATGCTGGTCCTACTACACATTTTTTTATGCATAAGGAATGATTTTTGCACAAAAGAACAGCAGAGGGGAAGCCTCAACCCCCCCACCCCCACTCCTCATTCACTTTTAGCACCTTTAGCAGGTGTGAAACCAATGCTGCTCTCCAACGCGGGCTAGCAGATTGTGCACTGGGGCTATTCTGGAACTGACGGCTGAGGACCTCTTGGCTGTCTCTCTCCACATCCTTACTTCACCACATCCTTTCTGCCCCAGGAAGCATGCCTAACGGAAGAGATTCTAAGCTCTATTCTAAATTGCTGGGTTTTGAAGGAGAACTTTGGAAAACTTATATACAATCAGACAACTGCATTAGCCAACAGAGCGGCTGGGGCAACTTGTCACATGTGAATTGCTGAAGCCACCTGTGCATGGAGACACAGTCTCACTCTGTTTATGCTGTAAAGTTAACCAACCTTAGGACATGCCGCCAGAATCTGTAAACATGGATATGCTCCAATCCTTTATGTAAACTTAGAACTAAAAAGTGGTTATAACTATACCTTTTTTCTCAGAAATATGCAAACTTGAGGCCATCAATAAGACTCAAAGGACCAAAGTACTTGCCACTGATTGGATGACCTGAGTTCAATCCCCAGGACCCACATGGTAGAAGGAGAAAACTAATCTTCCAAGTTTTCCTCTGATACTCCCATATGACACAACAAGGCCCCCAAACACACATAAGTAAGTAAGTAAGTAAGTAAGTAAGTAAGTAAGTAAGTAAGTAAGTAAATAAATAAATAAATGCCATTTTTAAAAGTTTTTTCTTTTTTTATTAATATTTTTTATTTTTAAAAAATTTTATACATTCACTTGTATCTCAGCTGTAGCCCACTCCCTCTTTCCCTCCCAATCCTCCCCTCCCTCCCTCATCTCCTCCCTGCCCCCTTCCGAGTCCACTGACAGGGGGTGTCCTCCTCTCCTTCTGTCTGGCCCTAGCTTATCTGGTATCTTCAGGATGGTTGCAATGTCCTTATTTGTGGCCTAGCAAGGCTACTCCTCCCTCAGGGGAGAGGGGAAGCTCATGAGTTCAGTCAGAAACAGTTCCTGTCCCCCTTACTAGGGAACCCACTTGGAGACTGAGCTACCATGGGCTATGTCTGAGCAGGGGTTGTAGGTTATATCCATGCATGGTCCTTGGTTGGATAAACAGTCTCATAGAAGACCCCTGTGCTCAGACAAATTTGGACCTTGTGGGGCTCCCTGTCCCCTCTAGGATATACTAATTCCTCCTTCCTTCATATGATTCCCTACACTCTGCTGAAGGTTGAGTTATGGGTCTCAGCATCTGCTTTGATACACTGCTAGGTAGAGTCTTTCAGGTGCCTTCTGTGGTAGGCTACTGTCCTGTTACTTGTTTTCTCCTACTTCCAATGTCCATCCCCTTTGTCTTTCTAGATGAGGACTGATCATCTTACCCCTGGACCTCTTTCTTGTTTATCTTCTTTAGTTGTACATATTTTAGTATGTTTATCCTATCTTATAGGGCTATATAAGTGAGTATATACCATTTGTGTCTTTCTGTTTTTGGGATACCTCACTCAGGATGATTTTTTTCTAGATCCCACCATTTGCCTGCAAAATTCATGATTTCCTTGTTTTTAATTGCTGAGTAGTATTCCATTGTGTAAAAGTACTACAATTTCTGTATCCATTCCTCCTTTGATGGACATCTGGGTTGTTTCCAGGTTCTGGCTATTACGAATAAGGCTGCTACAAACATGGTTGAGCAAATGTCCTTGTTGTGTACTTGAGCATCTTTTGGATATATGCCTAGAAAAGGTTTTTTAAAGAAATCTGCTAACTGAGGATGCAGAGATGACTTGGTCAGTAACGTGCTTGCCAGACAAACTTGAGAAATTGAGTTCAATCTCCAGGGGCCAGAGAAAGTCTGGCCTGATCGGGGCATGGTGGTGCGTGCCTCTGATCCCAGCACTCAGGAGGCAAAGGCAGACAGCTCTCTTAGGGCAAGGCTAGCCTAATCTACAAATCAACTTCAGGACAGCCAGGGCTATACAGAGAAACCTTGTCTTGAAAGAAGGAAGGAAAGAAAGAAAGAAAGAAAGAAAGAAAGAAAGAAAGAAAGAAAGAAAGAAAGAGAAGGAAGGAAGGAAGGAAGGAAGGAAGGAAGGAAGGAAGGAAGGAAGGAAGGAAGGAAGGAAGGAAGGAAGGAAGAGAGAGAGAAAGGTAGGTCAGGCCTGGAGGCATGTGCCTGGAATCCCAATGTGGAAGAGGTAAATGGATTCTTGGCTCCTTAGGGGCTGATAGGTGAGTTCCAAGTTAGAGACCCTGTCTCAAAGCAACAACAACAATGTAGGCTTTCATCCCCACCAGTAGGAAGTAGGCAGCTAAATCGATAGCTGGAGATCCAAGACACAGGATACCTCACCCAAGACTGAAACAAAGGAAAAAAGCAAAGAAACCTTGCTCTCCTGGATAAGAGGAGAAGATTCAAGTAGGGAGTTAAAGATGGAGGGTGAGAAATATATGATATGGATACAAAGTAAAATAATGAATTTAAAAAAATAAAATAAAAAGAGAGAGATGGAAAGAAGAAAAAGGAAAAAGAAAAAAAGGTAGATGGTATCCAAGAAATGACATCAGAGATTGTCCTCTGACTTCATACATACATACATACATATTTCCTGGCACACACACACATACCTGAGAGAGAGAAAGAGAAAGAGAGGGAGGAAGGGAGATACTCTTGATCAGCACACCCTATAATAAAGAGATAATTATTAACCACGAATTTCATATTGTTTTCAAATAAAAGGAGAGTGTGCCTTGTTCACTTTGAAAGTTTTCCAGCGGATTGGCATGATCAAGTTCATCCTCCACAGGGCACACAAGTGGCATTACCCCACCAGACCTTTGCTTCTCTGTGGATTTTGCATAGTTCATTTTCCCTGAGGCTCTCCCTTGCCCTTTCAAACATGACAGCAGGTTGGACGTTGCACCGTGCACTGTGCCGATTCCCTGAGTGTCATGATGGGGAGGGAGCAGAGCTTGGCACCTGCCACCCACAGCCCTGGCACTGGCCCTGACTCCAAAGGCTGTCTGAGCTTGGAGAGTTCATTTCTCCATCAGGTTCCGGACAAGGCAGTGGGGCGTTCATAGGCCCTTCTAGTTCCCAGTTCTCTAGAATACGTGCTTACCCAAGGTGGGCGTAAGGAACCTAACGCAGAGTCGGTTTATTCTCATCATGAACCCCAGGGGCTTCGTACAACTGAGAAGTGCGCAGGCTGAAAGGACACTGACTCTTGTCCTCTGTATTCACACCTGTATTTGCATCCTCTTGGCATAAAGTCCAACTGTTTTCTCATGAGCAGTTAATTTACAGACCTCACTAGTCACGACAAGCCCACACCCAAGGAAAAGGCTGAATGCCAGAGCATTGTGTTTCCTTCCATACAGGAACTCCACAGGCCTGAAACCAAAGCACACATCTTTAAAGCGCGCGCGCGTGTGTGTGTGTGTGTGTGTGTGTGGTTTGTATGTGTGTGTGTGGTGTGTATGTGGTGTGTATGTGGTGTGTGTATGTGTTGTATATTATGTGTGGTATATGTGTATGTGTGTGGTTTGCATGTGTGTGTGGTGTGTATGTATGGTTTGTGTGGTGTGTGTGTGTGTATGTGTGTTCCAGGGGATCACCTCCAGAGCTGTCCCTACAGAGCTGTACACCTCACTTTTTGACGTGGTGTCTGGGGTTCATCAAGAAGATGAGATAGACCCCTAAGGTAGCAAGCCCAAGGAATTCTCCAGTCTCCTCCCCAGTGCTGGGATTACAGGTGCATGCTGGGTAATCAGGATCAAATGCACTTCAGAACATATTTTAGATATCTGGTTTATGTTTATGTCTGCCCTCAACCTTGTTGCACTGAGAAATGTGATATTTCAAACTTCCATTCTGATTTTAGTTCACATAGATACTATTCTACCTGCCAGCATTTCAAAGGATTACTTGTCTATGTGAGAATTTTTCAGATATTCATCTTTGTCTAGAGGACAGCCGTTATTCCAGAGACTTGCAGCTGGTCAAAGTGTGGGCAAGAAATGTCTGTGGAGCGCTGAGCCACAAACGGGCAATCTATACTCGCTCACCTCAACATTCAGGCAAGTGTGGGGCAGGGGTCTAGGGACAGCTCAGTAAAAGGCTTGCTGTATGATGACTGGAAATGCAAAGGCAGAAAGATCCCTTGGGCTTGCTGGAAAGCCAGTCTTGCTAAATCGGTGAGTTCAAGGTTGAGTGAGAGGCCCTGTCTCAGAAAGATAAGGTGAAGAGTGACTGAGGAAGACAACTGACATTGACCTCTAGCCTCCAACTCACTTGCTGTTCTCTCTTATTCTTCTCCTCTTCCTCTTCCTCCTCCTGTCTTCTTCCCTGTCTCCCTCTCTCTTCCCCCTCTCCTCCCTTCCTCCCTCTCTCCCTCTCTTTTCCCCTTTTCTCTTTCTTTTCTCTCCCCTTCTTCTCCCTCATTCTCTGTCTCTCTGTCTCTCTGTCCCTCTGTCTCTCTCTCATACACACACACAAAAGGAACTCTGGAGAATTTCACAGAAAGCACTTGTGCGTGGTGACAATGCTGACATCGTAAATTACAGACACCTTTGAAAGATGGTAACAAACTTCCTCGGGAGTGCTGCCAAAATCTATCAGCAGCTTTCGGAGCCTGCTCTGTAACTACAGAGCTTGGAAGTCTTCAAGCTTGCGATTTTACAAAGACCTGTCATTATCAGCAGTTAGAGCCTGCAGCTGGAAAGGACAGGTTTTAACACACAGCTAAGGTTTCAAAGAGGAGCAAACTGAGAGGCAAAGGAGAGAGCAGCGCTGGGCTGCTGCTGAGACCACATGGCTACTAACCTGCTTTATCTCCCTGGTGAAGTACACGTAAGTCACAGCCACAGACAGGGCCTGCAGGAGCATCTGGATGAGCACTGTGCAGATCATCATCATCCTGAAGTGCTGACCGAAGCTGGGGCCCTTCAGGCTCTCCGTGGTCCTGTCCATGCTGGACTTCCCCAGAGCAGCCCAGCACCAAAGACTGAGAAGGGCACACTTGGAAAGCAAAGTGCTCATGTAGTTTCCTTTTACTGTGGAGAGCAAAAAACGAAACTAGTTTACGCAAGACAGAGCGGGGACTGCACCTAGCAGGGACTGAGGAAGTCAGCCCACTTGAAAGCAACTCCAGCTCAGAGAGTGTGCTCTGCTGGTGTGGAGAAGGGAGAGCCAAGCTGGCACACTGACTGGCTCAGCTACCCCCCAGGGTCAGATGCAGCACTTTGAGTTGGCTCACCCCAAAATCTACATTCTCTGTGAACTGTTGGAAAAAGTGAAAGGGCTGGTCCTGCTGATCCTAAGCTGCAGGATCTCCATGACACAGGGCAACCACAGGATAGCTGGGAGGAGTTCCAGCAAGAATCCAACATTGATGGTGTCACAGGAACCATAGGCCTCGTTGCAATGAACACTTGCAAGTAAAGGCGTGTGGACACTGAGGAAAACGTGTTTTCAGGGGGATGAAATGAATAATGCGTGAGCGGCTTTCAGGAGGCGTATAGTATATGAGGGCAAAGCCACAGACACATGGCCACCCTATGATTTGATGGACTGTGATACATATGGAATTCAAAAAAACTTCTAAAAGGCCATTGTGTGAATTAGAGGGGCTGGACTCACTCCCAAACTATGACCAGACAAGAAACAAAAAAAAAATATTCAGGGGTGCGGGAGAGAGGGCTCAGCTGTCAAAAGCGCTGTGATGCAAAGGCAACAACTTGAGTTTCATCCCTGGAGCCTACGGTAGAAGGAGAGAACTGACTCCCAAAAGTTGTCATCCGAAATCCACGCGTGCTCTGTGGTGTGTACAATGTGTCTGCGCAGAGACACGTTAAATACATGAAGGCATTCATCATAGCCCCTGATAGACTATGGGACCAGGGAAAGAGTCACCAGAAACAAAGCAGCATTAATTTTAATAATAAATGTAATTCAATATATACAAAGTATTCTGAGCGTCAACATGTAACCAATATGTTTTTAAATAGTGAGGGCTGGAAATGTAGCCTGGGGGTCTGGGTTCAGTCCCAAGCATTACAAAATAAATAAAACAGGAATATGTGTGTGTGTGTATGTACATATATATGTTTCTGTTTGTTTTTTATTTATCTATATGTTTATTTATGTATATGTTCATTTATTTGTTTTGTTTGTTTGTTTGTTTTCAAGGTAGGGCTCTCCATATAGGCTTAGCTATCCTAGAACTTGCTTTGTAGACCAGGCTAGCCTCAAACTCACAGAAATCTACCTGCTTCTGTCTCCCAAGTGCTGGGATTAAAGGCATGTACCACCATTGCCCAGTATACATTCTCATTTTACACTTTCGTCTGTGTCAGTCTTGACACTAATTCTTCAGTAGAAACAGTTGAACTGCATTTAGACTTTTCAATTTTCATTCTGAGTTGTGGCACATTCCAAAAAAAAAATTTCCAACAAGCACATCAAATATGAGACTTTAAATTAAAATTGAGCCTGGAGCTTCAGAAGTTCATGGACGTCCTAGGCTCCATAGCAAGTTCAAAGCAAACCTAGGATGCATGGCTATCTCACAAGCAGATACTGAGACTCCTAACCAAACCTTCAGCAGAGTACAGGGAATCATATGAAAGAAGGGGGAGTTAGTATGACCTGGAGAGGACAGGAGCTCCACAAGGACCAAATATATCTGGGCACAGGAGCTTGTCTGAGACTGTTTCTCCAACCAAAGACCATGTATGGAGAGAACCTAGAACCCCTGCTCAGATGTAGCCATTGTTAGCTCAGTATACAAGTGGGTTCCCTAGTAAGAGGAACAGGGACTATTTCTGACATAAACTCAATGCCTGGCTCTTTGACCTCCCCCCTCCTATCCGAGGGAGCAGCAGCCCTGCTAGGCCACAGAGGAGGACTTTGCAGCCAGTCCTGAAGATACCTGATAAGCTAGGGTCAAATGAAAGGGGAGGAGGTCCTCCCCTATCAGAGGACTTGGAAAGGCGTAGGGAGAAGATGAGGGAGGGAGGGTGGGATTGGGAGGGAATGAGGGAGAGGGATACAGCTGGGATACAAAGTTAATAAACTGTAACTAATATTAAAAAATAAAAATTTAATTAAAAAACAATTTAATAAAACTAAAAAGTTAGTTCCTTGACATTCCTAACCACATGCCAAGTGCTCGGGACCTGCCTGGGACTGCCACCGGCTGTGTACACAGCATAGACAAAAATGATAGGCCTAGTGTCGGCCAGTGAAGTGGTGCTGTGAATCAGTTTCCACCTTCTTTTTGAGACAGTCTCTCGCTGAACCTGCAGCTCACCTCAGGGTGACCTGAGGGGTCTTCCTGTCTCTGTCTCCCCAGCCTTGGGGTTTCAGCCACATACTACCCCCGGGGATGCTAGGGGTCCAAACTAAGGTCTTCGTGCTTACACAACAAACCCCTTAGCAGCTCAGCCATCCCTGACTCCAAACGTTACCCCCCCCCCCGTTTCCATTTCACTTTTGGTTTTATACTTTTTAATTATTAAAAGGAAATCAAAAGAATACTCTTTGTGGCGAGTAAAAATAACATAAGCCAAATAATCCCATTCCTTTGCTTGCTTTTGTTTCTTTTTCTTTTATAACAGTATTTTTTTTTTAATTCCTTGACAGGTTATGTAATGGCATAGTCAATCTCAGTTGTCACGTTGACGTATGTGAAAAGACAGGACCTCCCTTAAGGAATTGGTTACATTGGACCAGCCTCGGGGAGTATCTTGATTATTTTTGAAATTTTTTTTATTTTATTTTTATTAATTACAGTTTATTCACTTTATAGCCCAGCGTTGTCCTCTCCCCAACCCCCTCCCAACCCCACCCTCCTCCCCTCTTCTTTTCTTATGCCCCTCCCCTAGTCCAATGATAGCAGGGGTCCTCCTCCCCTTCCATCTGACCATAGTCTATCAGGTCTCATCAGGACTGGCTTCTTTGTCTTCCTCTGTGGATTGGTAAGGCTGCTCCCCCCTCAGGGGGAGGTGATCAAAGAGTCAGCCCATGAGTTCATGTCAGAGACGGTCCCTGTTCCTATTATTGGGGAACCTTCTTGGACACTGAGCTGCCATGGGCTACTTCTGTGCAGGGGTTCTATATGGTCCATGTTGACATGGTAGGACTTAGAGCACTGTGGCAGGACCATTCCGGGACAGGTGAGTCTGCGCTGTAGAAGAAAGGACGGTGAGCAGCCTAGGGCAATGTCCTTCTATTATCTGCTTCAGTTCCTGCCTTTGCTCTCCTCAGAGCAAAGGAAAGCACGCTAGGACAGACACTGACTACTGACTGTCCATCTGCCACTGTCTCTCTGCAGCGCCTGCCGCCACTCCACCTCCCTTCCACCTTCATGTCCTCTTTTTATTTTTCATTGATAACCCTTTGAGTTCAGTGATTACTGTCCACACATACGCACATGAGTATGCGGCCAAACACTGGACCATGAGCAACCTGCCAGCAACCAAAACCCCAAAGAAGAATGACTCTCCCTTCCTCAGCAGGCATCAACTGCCAATAGCTTTTCTGGTAAGAATGGGACTTCAGAGCCCCAAGCCCCCTTTGTGCCTGGATTGTGGCTGGCTTGATCTTCTGCTGGTCACCATCGCTGCTCTGAATTGATGCATGCTACAGTTATATCACATCCCCTGGACAGCATTTCACAGCTCTCATCCCCCTCTGCAGGCTCTTACACTCATTCTGGCCCTTCTTCCTGGAAGATCTCTAAACTTTTGGAATGACAGCTGGGCACCCAGAGTGACTTACACTTGACGCTTTGACCAGTGATGGGCCTCTGCATTGACCACTAGCCATCATTTTACAGATTCTCTAACCAGAGTTGACAACAGCACAAATGTTGAGGTCCATGCTTGCACTATGAAAACCTACTGTTTCAGACACTGTGGATCAGAGCTGGTACACAATGCCAGCTTTCGACTTCTACTTCAAGTCTTAGCAGTTCTGACTTACTTTGCTTTGGGTCCCACAAAGGCAGAAAATGTTCAGTACCTGGAGCCTTATAGAAAGCTTGCCACCCCCTGAGCTGGTAATTTTGCTGGGCTGTTGCATGCTGTTTATGGAAGCAAGGGGGATGCTTCTAATTTTGTTTAACCAATACTACTGATTAAATATCAACAGGCATCATCTATAAAACTTGTTGATGACAATTATTAATTTTAGCAATGAAAATCCAATTGCTGGTCTTTATTATGCAAATCAGAAGAACCTCCAAGTGCAGAGGTGACATAAATGGTCAGAAATGTGATGGCTACATCTTAGGAGGCTGAGCTCTCTAGCCAGAATGCCAGAGGACACCAGTGGGCATAATGCCTTGTTATGGGAACCGAATCTATGGATAATGTAAACTAACACATACAGAGATTCGCGCGTGCACTGTGTCAGGGATTCTGAATCTAAGCTGTTAAATAGAAAAATGCTGGGAAGTGCCTCCACATGTTGCAAGCATCTTGGCTTCTGTAGCCAGACATAATGAGTTTGCAAGTTGGTGCATGCAAAGCCAAAAACACATGGCCAAGAGACAAGAGCAGAGGATGGTCTGTTGCCTGCCACAAGAATAGCGCAAGATTCATTTCCAAAGCAACGTCCTTTCCAACGAAGAAAGCATGGGGCTTTGATGTGGGGAGGTCGTACATATTCACACAGAAAACCACTTGGGAGGTGTTCACATTCCTCAACATAGTTAGTTCAAGACATACAATACCGGGAATGCTCAGTTTAAGATCATAGTTAAAAAAAAAAAAAAAAAAAAGATGGGGACTGAAAAATGACTAAGAAGTTAAGAATCATGAAGACTAGAGTTCAGATGCCAGCACTTATATAACAAGTCAGGCATCCACACAGGCCTATAACCCTAGCTCCAAGTAGGGCAAGGATAGGGGGTTTGATGGGGCTTGTTTCTCCCAGACTGGCTGAGAAAATGAGTGCCATGTGTAGGGAGAGACCTTGCCACCAGGAAGTAGATCAGGATAAAGACACCCACACCCACACATCACTTTCCTTTTATTTTGTGTTCTT